CATTTTTTTTAAGGTAAGTGGTTGCAATCAATTTATTTTAGCTACATTTAAATAAACAAATTTAGTTGACTAACATATTTTTTAAATTAAATGTAGCTAAAATAAATTGTTTGCCACCACTTACCTTAAAAGAATTAAGTATCATTTTAATTAATAAAAAAAAAAAATTTCAATTATAATTGATTTTTGTTATTTTGGAGGTTGCTTTAGTTGTCTGGAATCGATGAAATAAACCCAACAATGTCCTGTCCGTTCAGTTATTATAATAACTTTGTATATATAAACTTTGATTTTTACTTTCTGAGTTTGAGTAAAAATCAAAGTTTATTGCTTTATAAAACAGCAGTTTAATTAGGATAAGGATGATGAAACGTGTTTTAATCTCATATTTGATTTCATGTTCATCTCTCAATCACTGCATTATATGTTTGGATCATTTCAATCTCATCTTATTACTGGAGATATAGAGCGACGACTGATATTTATAGCATTTTATGTCAGTATCTGCTGTACTGTTATAAAGATCTCACTGATTTACATCACAAGCAGCAGAATTTCATCATAGAAATATCAGCATCTGCAGCAAATTCATATTTTTGCTCAGTTTGAATCTCTGAATAAAATTGAGCTGTTTTTCCTCTATATTCTCACTGTATCAGACTATATGCGCCATAAAAGCCTGATGTATCAAATATGAGACTCAACAAAATACATATGCACACTTTTTTTTTACATTTTTTTTTTTTTTTTTTTTTTAAAGTTTCAATAAACCTTTCCATTAAAATGTCTTTAGTGTGACTGTACATCATCTCTTATAAGAACCCAACAGTAAACTTCATTATTGTTGGAATTAAATCAATTCATTATTGCTGTTTTGGGAAATAAATAGACATTAGTTGACAGACAGTAATAGAATGAATGTGGATAGCATCTGAGCACAATTTGAGACATTTCTAAGATTAAAGATCTCAATTTGCTTGTGATGCTATATTATCACAAAATATTGGATTCAGTGTTTTTATCAACTTGTTTTCTTTCATTTAGCACAGGTTTTGTATTTCTTTTTGGAACTGGTTGACCAACGGTAGGCCTCATTGAACTCAGTTTTTGAGTGATTATTATCAAAACGATCCACAAATAATGCTTTGTTCACTTAAAAACTGAGGTGCGTGAGCTCAGGTCAGTGAGGCCTACGATCAAACAGTTCCAAAAATAAATACAAAACCTGTGCTGAATAAAAGAAAACAAGTTGACAAAAATATTGTATCTAAGATTTAGTAATAATATCACATAATGAAAGACTTACAAATAATTTTTTGCAGGCGTGTCATTTTTGGCCCGGAACACATGTAACAAGATGGGGAAATATATATATATTTATATACAGTATATACGTTCGTACAGTAACATTAATAGAACACTCCTTCAAAGTTATCTGGTGTTTAATAATGTTCTCAAAACGTTGGCATAAAAACATTATTTATACATTATTCATGGAATGTTTTTCTGAAATGCTAGTTGGATGTTTGTCCAACATTCTTAAATATTATCGCTTGTTTCAGAGCGTTCAGAGAACATTCAAATGTAACATTTCCACAATGTTTGCAAAATGATACAATGGAACGCTCCCTTAAAATACATTTTTAAAATTAAAAATAATATATAAACTGGATGTTTTGAACATTCAAGGAACATGCAAATAATGTTTTCATAACTCACTGGGAATGTTATCAAAATGTTCATAGAACAAATGTGAGGCTGCAGCACAAAAGCAGTCTTAAGTCGCTGGGGTATATTTGTAGCAATAACCAACAATGCATTGTATGGGTCAAAATTATACATTTCTCTTTTATGCCAAAAATCATTAGGATATTAAGTAAAGATCATGTTCCATGAAGATATTTTGTAAATCTCCTACCGTAAATATATCAAAACTTAATTTTTGATTAGTAATATGCATTGCTAAGAACTTCATTTGGACAACTTTAAAGATGATTTTCTCAATATTTAGATTTTTTTGCACCCTCAGATTCCAGATTTTCAAATAGCTGTATCTCAGCCAAATATTGTCCGATCCTAACAAACGACCCTTATGACTGGTTTTGTGCTCCAGGGTCATATAGTTTGTTAGCTGGCCACATATAAGAGCGTAGTTTCTCAACTTTCTTCTGAAGGATATGACTTGTTAAATAACACTGAGTAAACATGGCAAAAATGGGCGTTCCTGCCCTGTTTAATGGGGTGTACTGGCATGCATTTTGGCCGAATAAATAGTTAAAACATCTGGTTTTCATAGATAAATAAGCTCTTACTATTATAGCAAGTGCTTTTGTTGCATATGGGCGCTGGCATCTGATCCATCCTGGCATGCTCAGATGTAGGTCAGGCTCTTTCTACGGATGCTATCGTGTCACGACGTGTTGCAGGGAACGTTTCATCATGATGTCCACATCAGCTCCTCATCTGTCATGTTTCCCTCCACACCCGCTGATCAAACAGGAGATAACAGGACATCTCCTCGCTCATACATCGTGTTTGTGTTCTGATCAGGGTCTGCTGAAAGACGAGATGAATGAGCTGAAGTGAGGGAAATCAAGCACAATCCACAGGTGAGACTGTGTGACGTCACGTCTGCTGCAACTCATTCAGACACAGATGACAGAAACAGGCTTCAGTTTTAATGTTAGTTCATTTCATGTATTCAAAAAAAATATTGATACTTATTTACTGGTTTATTATTTACCTCACACTCTCTCTCTCTCACACACAAACACACACTCTCTCTCTCTCTCTCTCTCTCTCACATACACACACACATAATTATTCTTTATATATTTATTTTATTTTTAATATTTTTTATTAAACTTTTGATGCAAATCAGTGAGATCTTTATAACAGTGCAGCAGATACTGACATAAAATGCTATAAATATCAGTCGTGGCTCTATATCTCCAGTAATAAGATGAGATTGAAATGATCCAAACATATAATGCAGTGATTGAGAGCTGAAGAAATAAAGGCTCCTCAGAAGATGTGAGATGTTCTGGAGGCTCGTGAAGATCAGTCCTCCGCTGAGGAACAGTGAAAGTAAAGCTTCTGGAAACAAACGCTCCTCAAAAGATCCTGAGGGTCAGATTTGAGACTCTAAAACATGATTGATGGAGAATCAAGTAAAGCTGAGCTGCTTCAGTCCAGTAAGTGTTCATCTGGAGATATTACTGCAGTTATTCTGACCTTTACTTGATCAAAATCAGTCAAGATTTGACACGAGAAGCTCGAGTACAATTACACTAAAGAGCTTTGACTGGAGAAAACACTCTAAACTCTCAATCAGACAGAAGACTTGCAGGAGATCGAGTGAGAAACAGCAAAGTTCGATCATTTAGAGGCTTTAGAAAATATAATACAGTGGCTTTATAGGTTTATAAACATCTCTTTATGGGTTTTTCCTTCCCACAGGCTTACCCAGAAACATCTGACCACTTTCATTGACCTCAATCAAACCCACAGCAATATTGATCCACTCACTAGTAGTTTGGTTCTCATGGTTCACTAAACATGCATTAGTGAAGAACCTCTCTCTTTAGTATCCGTGTAACCGGACGCTCTCAGTCTCAGGCTTAAATGCGTACGCAGTGTGTTTTTGACCTGCTAGGAAAGGGGCGTGTCCTCAGGTGTCAGATTGACAGCTCCGCCCCTCCTTCAGTCGAGTTTTGACGGCTGTTGTGTTTTCTTTAGAGCGCATGGCTTTGCTGTCGTGTCATGATGGGACAGACTCTTGTTTCCTGCAGGCTGTCAGGATGTTCCAGAGGAAGAAGAAGAAGAAGAAGAAGAAGAGGAGGCTGGAGATCTCCACACCCAGGAACTTCGAGCACAGGGTGCACACGTCCTTCGACCCGGTGCAGGGCTGTTTCGTGGGTCTGCCGACCCAATGGCAAAGCCTCATAGAAACACTCAGGAGACCCAAACCTGTGGTGGACCCCTCCAGCATCACGCAGGTGCAGCTCCAGCTGCAGAGGGTAAAGCTCCTTCACTATCTAAACATGAAGAGATGGGAGAACGTGTGTGTCTGTGGGGATTGCATTTGATCTTCATGGCAATATTTGTGTTTTTTTATCATTGCTATTTTGTTATATATTTGTTGAATGCATGCAGTCGTGTTATGGTTTATGTAACTAACAATTAATTATCTCTATATATAGATAAACTAGATTATGAATATATACAGGAATTGTATAGTTCATGTTATAGTGCATTGCATTTTACTGCATGGATATTCCAGTAATGCAATACTATTTGTAACATTATTATGTAATTATTAAAATTTAGTACCATTATTTTTATGACTGTTAAGCAAAACTATAAGGCAAAAAATTACAAGCTGAATAATAATGTTTTATTATATAATTATTATATATAATCTCTTTATGAATCTCACAAAAACATGTCCAGATTCAAAACCAACAGGGAATAAAAGGCAATATGAAAATTATATATTTATATATATTTGCAATATTTGCAGAACTTAGTGACTTAAATATAAGGAAAAAAATATACATTTGATATTATAGTGCATAGCATTTCACTGCAAGGATATATTGTATATTCTAGTAATACAATTATAGTATTAACATTATTATGTAATTATTATATAGTCACTAGGTTGGTGAATCTCATAAAAACATTTTCAGATCATATTTCACTCAAAAATATAAAGAAAAAAGGTATTTAGATATTGCTTAAAGAAAGTTATGTATTTTTTCATGTTATTTGAACAATTTTTTTGGCATTATTTTTATAAAAATTAAGCAAAACTAATATATAGGCAAAAATTATATAGTGCATTGCATTTGAATGCATAGAAATTCCTGTAATATTTCCTGTAATATATTCCTATAAAATTCATGTGCACACACACACACACACACACACACACACACACACACTGTGAAATGTGATCGAGGCATATTTCTGGCAGCACCTACTGTAATTTATTTAAAAACATCACATAAATACAATCTTTCATAACGATCTTTTCCCTGAGAAAGTGTTTCAGGTTGATGTTTGCAGCTGCAGCTGTAAACAATCGTGTGTCTTTGTTAAACAGGTTCTGTCTCAGTGTTAGAGGAGGTTTGGTCTTCGTCATATTGTCATATTTCCCCAGGCTTCTCACGTATCAGCAAAACTAAGCGTTTCTATCCAATAATTATGACCTGACAGACCTGCTCAACTCTGCTGTTATATAATGATTTCACACCAGGAGGAGCTGCATCATCATCATCATCATCATCATCATCATCATCATTATGTATATTGCTTTCTCATGTCCAGTTCCTGTTTAAAATATCTCATATTGAGACATGCACTTTCAGTATGAATGTGTTTCATACTGTGTTTTTAGGGTTTTTAAAATGTCCGGTTTATTATTTAATTATTATAGTCACAAGATGAATCTCATAAAAACATATCTAGGACATATTTCACTCCAAAAAGAAAAAAAATATGAAATTTATCGCTTGAAGAAAATTATCTTTTTTTTTTTTGCATTATTTGCAGAACTCAGTGACATTATTGTTTAAATTATATATACACACACATATATATATATATTTATTTATTTTTTATTTTTTTATTTTTTTTGCAATACTTGTGAAATTACTGACATTATTTTACAATTAAGCAAAAAATATTATTCCAGTAATACAATGCTATTTTTAACATTAATATTCCAGTATTTATTATATGATCACTAGGTAGGTAAATCTTACAAAAACATTTCCAGATCATATTTTATGCATGCATAAAAATAAATAAATAAATAAATAAATAAATAATAAACGTATTGCTTAAAGAGAATTTTATATTTTATGAATTATTTGCAAAACTTTAATTCATTATTGTTTTTTGACATTATTTATATGATAATTAAGCAAAAATAGACAAGCATTATAAAGTTGATATTATATTGCAAAGCATTTCACTGCATAAATATATTATATATTCCAGTTATACAACTCTATTTTTAACATTATGTAATTATTATATTATAAATAGTCACTGGGTAGGTGAATTTCACAAAAACAGATCATGTTTCACTCCAAAAATCAAAAGAAAAAAATATTGCATTACAAAATCTATATTTTTGCATTATTTCCTAAAGTTATTTCAATATATTCAAACCAAAACATCAGGCAAAAATTATAATGCATAGCATTTTACTCCATATATGCATTGTATATTCCAGACAAAAGCTGAAATAAATCCAGCATTAAGATGTTTTTAACTAAAACACATAGAGTCCATAATCCATAATAACGCTTCCTCCAGTGAAAAAGTGCATCTGCTGTTGTCTCTCACATCAAAATCCAGCCACATATGTGTTTAGAGCTGTTTAAACGCTGCTTGATCTGTGCAGATTTCTCTCCTGATTCAGACCAGAACACTTTTTCACTGGAGGAAGCGTTATTATGGATTATGGACTCTATGTGTTTTAGTTAAAAACGTCTTAATGCTGGATTGTTTCAGCTTTTGTCTTCTCCAGATGTTCACTGATGGACTGGAGTGCTGTGGATTACTTGTGGATTATTGTGATGTTTTTATCAGCTGTTTGGACTCTCATTCTGACGGCACCCATTCACTTGCAGTGGAGTTTTGATGTCTTGTTTAATTCTGTCTTCTAGAGCATTGTTCGCGGCAGTTTCATCGGACATGAGGACTACATTTCTGCGGCGATTGCTCAGATGAGTCGACTCTCTGTTACAAGCTCGAACTCGTTGAGGAGAACCAGCCTGTCTTTAAGGAAAAGAGCCCAGTCTCTGGGTCGTCTGGGTGAGTTAGCTGAAGGAGAGACGTACGAATATCAGGAACTCAATGAGGCCGATCGGAGAAACGGGCAGCCGGTGTCAGACTGGTGCTCGAGATCCCGACAGATCCAGAGCGAGAGCGGAAGCCCACGGCCCGAATCCAAGAACAGCTACACCATAAACTCCACTGAGTCTCGACCCAGAGCCAAGTCTATGTTCATGGGACAGCCGGTGCTGATGCCCCGGGACATTTTACTCGCGCCTAGGACTGATAAAACAGACGGTAAACCCAACCAGAGGCCCGTATCGTGTCTCTACAGCAGCTACAGCCAAAATAATGGAGCGAGACTGAGCTCAGATCAGCCGAAGATGGAAACGCAGAGGAGGCCTCAGTCCACGTACAACTTCAAGGTGTGTAGAAATACTAACTAAGAATGTTTGGCTCACGTTTCCAAAAGTTATGAAAACATTATTTTTAAACGTTCTCATTTTTAAATGATTTAAAAACGTTTTTTCTTGGTTATAGTAACATTAGGGGAACATTCCGTTTTATAGAATTTTGCAAATGTTACATTTGAACGTTCTGAAACAAATAGTTACATTTAAAAAATGGACAAATGTTTGACTAATTATAATATATATTATAATTAAAAACAAACAGGTTTTTTATTATATATATTATTTTTTATTAATATTTTGAATTAGCTTTTGGTTTTATATTTTACATTTTAATTTTAGTTTAAGCTTTTATGTGCTTTTGTCATTTTTATTAGTTTTATTTATTTTAAATGTTTACAAATTTTTTTAATATTTTATATACAGTGGGTACATCACAGGAATAAATTACAGTTTAATGTATATTAAAATAGAAAACGTTATTTTACATCATAATAATATTTCACAATATAAATTTTTTTTAATGTATTTTTGATCAAATAAATGCAGCCTTGATGAGCAGAAGAGACTCCTGTAAAAACATAAAAAATCTGGTAGTGTATATATATATATATATATATATATAAAGTTTAAAATTTTAAATATTTCACCGTAATTAATTTTCATTTAATTAATTTTTATGTATTTATTTTTCAATACTTAAACTTATTTACTTTTTTATTTTGCCAATGCAACATTTCTAATTTTCATTAAAAATATATATATTTTATTTTATTTCAGTTGTTTTATTTTATTATTTTTATTTGATGTCAAGGAAAACTATTTTTAATGGTTCTATAGTAATAGTTTTAATTAACAATAACAACACCGCCCAGATGTTGTTGATAAAGGTTAACTTTTCTGTAATATGTGACTCTGGACCACAAAAGTGTCAATTTTTTAAAATTGAGGTTTATGCATCCTCTGAAAGCTGAATAAATAATCTTTCCATTGATGTATGGTTTGTTAGGATCGGACAATATTTGGTCGAGATACAACTATTTGAAAATCTGGAATCTGAGGGTGCAAAAAAATCTAAATATTGAGAAAATCATCTTTAAAGTTGTCCAAATGAAGTTCTTAGCAATGCATATTACTAATCAAAAATTAAGTTTTGATATATTTACGGTAGGAAACATACAAAATATCTTCATGGAACATGATCTTTGATGATTTTTGGCATAAAAGAAAAATGGTTATAATATACCTGTGCTACTTATGACTGGTTTTGTGGTCCAGGGTCACATATTATTCCAGTGTAATACGCTACTTCCTACGTTTATCTGAAGAAGTCATATTTTTCATATAAATACAGGTGAATTCACCGAATTTTCCAGCCATTTCCAAACCCAGCGACACTAGCAGTCCACAACCCGGCCATGGAATAATAATCAGCCACCAAAGCGCACGCCGTTCCTCCAGCGACCTCATTTGTCCCATCAAGCCCCCCGGGACTCCAGCCTCAGTCCCTCCGACGCAGGACAGACCCGCGAGCCCCAGCAGAGCCCCGTCGCCCTGCTCGAGAGTCACGCAGGAGCAGTTCAGAGCCGCGCTGCAGATGGTGGTGGACACCGGCGACCCTCGCTCGTCTCTGGAGAGCTTCGTGAAGATCGGCGAGGGCTCCACGGGTGCGGTGTGCATCGCCCGAGAGAAGCACAGCGGGCGGCAGGTCGCGGTGAAGATGATGGACCTGAGGAAGCAGCAGAGGAGAGAACTGCTCTTCAATGAGGTGTGAGCGTCTCGTCTTTCATTCACAACATAATGTGACGTTTATGAGGAAAACAGAACGTTTGATGGAACATAATGTAGAGTGAGATTCACACTAATAGTGCAGAAGGTAAATATACTGTAAATGTTGGTTTTAAAGGGATCAAATAATTCAGAAAATTATTGGTCTCTCAATGACTTGATGAACCACATCGTTATCGTTAAAATATATACATTTTTTAATAAAATATAATAAAATAATGTGTGTATATATATATATATAAATATATATATACAGCACCCTCCACTAATATTAGCACCCTTGGTAAATATGAGCAAAGATGGCTGTGAAAATAAATATGCATTTTTTATCCTTTTTGATCTTTCATTCAAAAAATTCAAAAAATTCTAACCTTTCATTGAAGTAAAACAATTGAAAGTGGGGGGAAACTCACATTATGAAATATATGTTTTTCTCCAATGCATGTTGGCCACAATTATTGGCACCCCTAGAAATTCTTTTGAGTAAAATATCTCTGAAGTATATTCCCATTCATACCTCCATTTTTTTAGCACAACAGGGTGACTAGGAGCATGAAATTGTCCAGCCATGGACAATGTTCCACAGGAATATACTTATGAGGAACACAAAGGCCAAATTATATATTATATAAAAAACATTTTAGTTACTTGATATAAATATTAACCTTAAATAAAATAGAATATACAAATCTTACATTTATTTTATTTCCACCACTGAAATAGCCTAACTAAAACTGAAATAAGAAATAATAGAAACTTATATAGTCATAAAAAACAATAAAAATTACAAAAACACACAACAAAATGGCTAAATCTAACAAAATGTAAAATATAAAAATTGAAATCAACTCAAAATATTAACAAAAACTATAATAATATATCAGTGATACAAAATAACACATAAATTTGAAAAAAAAAAAAAACAGGTGGTTATCATGCGAGACTACAGGCATAAAAACGTGGTGGAGATGTACAAGAGTGCTTTGGTGGGTGAAGAGCTCTGGGTCATCATGGAGTGCCTGCAGGGCGGCGCTCTGACCAACATCGTCTCAGAAACCAGGTGAGAAACACTTTTGAACATATAATGGACATGAATGATTCCTCAGAGCATGTGTTATTGATGAGAGGTGTGCTAATACTTTACTACGTGATCAGATGCTCTATTTTCACCTCATATCATCCTCTGTAGTTCTTCTGCTGCAGCGGCACAGTTAAGATCTTTTTCCAAATGGTATCTTAAAAAACTTCCCTAAAGCACGAACAACAGGATTTTTTCTGCTAAGTAAGGAAAGAGTTACTTAGCTGGAAACTGGTTTCCTTTTACACTGTTTGCACAGCAGCTCTTTGTTGATGTTCACACACATTCTTCATTCTAAACCTCTTACATCAAGGTAAAGTCAGCCTAGACTGCAGACTTTGTGTAATAGTTCATGCAATACTTTATGCAAGTATGCAGTGTGAATATGATGTGAAATGCAATGCATTAGACGAAAATTCATAATCCCAATGAACATGCACTAGCGTTCAAAAGTTTGGGGTCAGTAAGATTTTTTTAATGCTTTTCTTTGATGCATTTATTTGATCACAAATACAGTAAAAATTGTGAAATATTATTATGATTTAAAACAGCTGTTTTCTATGTGAATATCTGTTAAACTGTAATTTATTTCTGTGATCAAAGCTGTATTTTCAGCATCATTACTCCAGTCTTCAGTGTCACATGATCTTCAGAAGTCATTCTAATATGCTGATTTGCTGCTCAAGAAACATTTCTGATTATTATCAATGTTGGAAACAGTTGTGCTGCACAATATTTGTGGAAACTGCGATACATTTAATTTTTCAGGATTCACAGATTAATAGAAAGTCCAAAAGAACAGCATTTATTTGAAATAGAAATCTTTTGTAACATTATAAATGTCTTTACTGTCACTTTTGATCAATTTAATGCATCCTCAATGAATAAAAGTATTAATTTCATTATAAAAAAAGGTCATAATGACCCCAAACGTTTGAACGGTAGTGCACTAAGCATGCATTAGAGGGAGCGATTGAGGTGTGTTATTATTCCTGCTAAATATAAACACAGATTTTTCACTTCTTCACTGTTTGCTGCTTTGTGTCAAAGGAGACTGAGGAGTGTAAGGAGGCACAGCCCGTGTTTATCTTTCATTGTGTGTGTGTGTGTGTGTGTGTGTGTGTGTGTGTCTGTGTGTGTGTG